ATCTCACAGTTAAGACACTTTAACGACACCATCACCTTATCAATCGAGGAATCGTCACACCAAACATGACTCAAGCACAACAGACTCAATCCCATCCAGTTTAACTAGTTGTTCCAACTCCCACTTTCGATGCAAGCCTCAAAACGGCTCGTTTGACGATTTGGCTTTCTAATATCCTTCCTAACCGGTGGAACGAATCGCCTGTTTCCCCGCCATCTGCCTCTTCTCGAGGCGGCGATTATCCTTAATTTGAGCAAATCACTATCCAGAAGTAGTTGTACTTTCCAACTGATCTCGCTCTATCACTTGAGCTCATTCATACACTTCCACATCATTGCTGATGTTCAGTGAAATCATTAGGTTTCAGATATCCGACTTCAGTCCGTCTCGGGATTTCTGAACCTTGTCCCGTGGATTCTCAACCAGTTAAATGGACTCCGTTTCATATCGTTCCACAGTCATCTGACCCTGGCGGAGTCTCATAAACTCTGCTAGTTTCTTCTCCCTAGCACTTGCCGAGAAATATTTTTCATAAAAATTTTCAGTAAAAACAGCCCAGATCCTAGCTGTGCCTTCCGGAAGAATTCTATCTTTGGTGGCTTCCCACCAGTCATTTGCATTATCCTGCAATTGATACACCGCCAGGGTTACCCTCTCATGATCATTGCACTCTAACACCTCAAAAGCCTTCTCAAGCTCCTCTACCCATCGTGGTTCAGCCTCAGGATCACCTTTCCCGGCAAACTTAGGCGGTTTCAGCTTTATAAACTGTTCTACTAGCTGATGCATCGGTCTATTCACAACTCCTTGCCCTTGCCCTTGATTCTCATGATTAATGACAGTAGCAGCAGCCACAGGGGCCTCAACAGGTTGGGCAATTTCAGCAGCTCTTTCCTGAGTCTGCTGTTCTAACAGATTTCCGATCCGTTCCAACGTCCTCATAACGACTTCCATTCGAGGATCCTCAGTAAGTCTAACTTCCACTCTAAGGTCCACTGCAGCTCCAACATCCACTCTAGGATTCTCTACTGCTCTAACACCCATTCCGAGGTCCTTGACAGCCCTAGCTCGAGCACGACCTCGACCTCTCGTTCCTCTTCTAGCGCCCCTTCTTGAGACTCTTCCTACTCCTTTTCCTTCACTGCTCATCCCACAGTTCTACCACTCTCCTACCTGCTATAATTCCACTCAGGAATTAGTAATCTAAGCCGACTAGATCAGTCTAGTTCTAGGCAGTGAATTAACACAATAATTCACTTAGCAGGCAAACAATCATCACAACAAACAATTCGCTCAATCAGTCACAACAAATAATCCGGAGGCACGTGTAGCTCACACTACCCTACACCCATTGAGATCTCCCCAATTACTAACCCAAGGTTTCCGCTCCTTATCACTCCAATTCGACCAACTTTAGATCGAGCTGACCTTGCTCTGATACCAATTCAAACGGGGATGTCACGCCCCGAACTCCCGTCGGGCCCGCAACATCCCGCCTCCGGTCGAATAGCTGCGACGTCCCAGGTTATCGCCGACCTCAACTAAACATCATAGATTTCATTGCGCAAATGGAAACCAAAAAAAAAAAATACCCGGACAAATTAAACTGGGGAGAATTGGGAGAATATACATTTCCAGTACTCGATCAAACTTATTCCACCATATTTACAATAGAACAAACCTTAGATTACCAGTACACACATTCCTAAAACCTTTGAAAGTAAGAACAAAAACAGACGACCTGGCATACTAACTTCCAAAAATGTTACCCTTCTGAAACCCACCGGAAACTCTGCCACATCGTACTTCGCGTGCACTGGTATCCCAAAACGTGCGCGGCGGTGGTGGAGGGTTCATGGGTCCTGTCGGGGTTCTCAAATTATTGGTTGAAACAACCATGAGAACACTTCTCGCAAGTACACCCCTAAACTCAACCTAGGCTATCACGTACCTCCAGACAATTACGCAATCACACACATATATTCACACATGCTGAAACATCACATTGCAGGCACATCAAGTAATATTGCCAGGCTCAATCATGCGCACATCAGCATTCAAACTCAATCACGTCAGATGTACACACGCACATGTATCATTCTCATCCCACTGTTCCTTCCATCCTCATTCCTCTTTCATATTCCTCGCCAGTGACCCGCGTTGAAGTACACGCCTCAGGCACACTGCGACAATTCATTTTCCACAACACTCGCCAGCGACCCGCGTTGAAGTACACGCCCCAGGCACACTGCGATCATTCACCATATCCGGCCCGCGTACCCGTTCACACCTCAGGCCCCAATCGCGACCTGAGCATCACACGCCCCAGGCCCGATCCCAACTCAGCCCGCGCCAAATGCGACATGCCTACATGATTGGAACCCGAGCTTATGATGCCTCGGTCCAATCCCGGTCTCACCGGAGCTGGTCATGCCTCGGACCGAATCTCATACTTGCTTTTTCAAGCCACAGCCTGTGCCAAATGCAACAGACCTACATGATCGCTGCCCGAGCTCATGATAATCGGCCCGATCCCATTCTCGCACTTACACACCTACACATAACTTCCACTATCACATGCCGCACCACTTTTCTTTCTTACTCATGCACATGCTCATCAAGCATTTACCACACTCAACTGGCCCATCACACGTGGCCCGTGCACGCATCAATTAACACGTAAAACATGCTCACTCAGCATTCGACATGGTCAATTTCAACAATTAATTCAATCTGGCCCACGCGTGCACATAATCAAGCACATTTCAATCCATCAAATCACGGTTCAATAAACACACAAGGCCGCTCATGGGCCCACAATCACAGCCACGTTCATAGGCATAATTTCGACATTTCAAAGCCTATTAAACATCACAATCTAACCATACTACCACACACCAAACCGACACTACCTGGCCTTAAATCGAGCCCTAAGTTTGCCAATTCCATCCCACAACATCCGACACTCTATTTAGTCTCACTCCAGCCTCGAAACATCCTCATTTCATCCTCGAGTTACCTCATATAACACACAAACAAATACTCAATTAAATCAACCCCATCCAGAATAATTCAAACATGCCCAAAACACGTAAATTGCCAATTTTCTCCAACCAATTCCGATCCTTCACGACACTTTCTCGCATTAAATAATGGTTCTAAAAATCCAACTTGCGTCCCGAACAAATCATCACAGCCCCGTGAACAGTAAATCACAGCTTGTGAACAGTAATTCGCAGCTTATAAACACACATATAACCATCACAATCGCGAGTAATTTCAATCACAAGGACCCTCACAATTCAGCCACGACATCACACAACAATCTGACACATATACACCACAAATCAAGCCATAAACACATTATTCCGAACCACAAATTCCAGCATGTATACTTCTCGTAGGCAACCCTTATTTACTCTCTAAATAACCCCCAATCCATCATAATTCCAGCCATAATTTCACCCAAGGTGAACTCGATAAATTCGTCCATGAAACAAACCCCAAAATTTGCCGAACACTAGTCCGTTAATACCGAAATCATTATTTTTCTTCCACCAAACGACGTCAAATCGATTTCGGTCCTTCACGGGACTTTTTCACCATAATTTCTTGGTTCTAAAAATCCAACTTGCGCCCGATCGGCCCATCACGGCCCCATGAACAGTAGATCACAGCCACTATTATTTTCTAATTTCCAATAATTAATGCCCGAATTAAATCCCAAGGCCCGCCATAAAATTTCCACTACCAATTCATACAATTCCGCACCTAACTTTATACAGATTTCGCCCAAAATCGCCCGTCGATACCCGAAGTCCTAAATTGAGTTTAGAGCACGACTTACCCGCGTTCTAGACTATCGCGGCTAGAACGGAGAGCGGCGGCACTAAATCGGAGACGGCGGTGACGGCGTACGGCTCCCGGGTGGCGGCGATCGGCTTGGGTGGCGACGGCGCGACTTGGGCGGTGGTTGGGGGCTCACGGCCAAGAGAGAGACCGAGAGGGAGAGAGAGAACGGCGGCATGGGAGGGGGGGGGCTTGAGGCTCGGCGGTGGAGCAGCGGCGATCCGGCGGGCATGACCGGCGGCGGTGATGGCGCGGCGACGACGGCAAAGGGAGAGAGAGAGAGAGAAAATGGGTCCACGGTGGGGGGGGCTTACGGCCAAAAAGGGGGAATTTCACGATGAAGAAGGAGGAAGAAGAGAGAGAGGAGAGAGAGAAAGGGGGGTCAAGGGCTTAAAAATCAATTTTGACCAACTTTTTGGCAATTTACTAAAATGCCCTTCTCTCACACAACTAACCCTTTATTAATTCCCAAGGATAAAATGGTCACTTCCTCCGTTTCTCTCCGAAATCGAATTTTTCCGAAAGAATTGAGCATACCAAAAATTGACACGTGTCACGTGCAACGTTGTCCTAACGTTCCGTCGTGACTTCCTAATTTTCCGGTGTCCAATTTGGGTAAAATTCCATAATTAAGTTCTATTAAACGCAACTCGAGCGTTTCTCGAGCTAACGGGCGACTTGCTGGGGAAATTCGCAGAATCAACTCATGACTGATACTTAATCGAGTCACGTGCAAGTCCGTTCGGTGCGTGACGACCTCGGTTGTCATTAAAATCGCGAAGATCAATCACTTGATCCGAGGGGTACGATCGTTCGGTATAATTTCAGAATCATTCGTCAAGTCGTTTCGTGGTCCAACGGAATCACCCGCGATCCACTACTAGGACAGTGGCGAACTGACCCCTAACTATCCTTGGATCGGCCAACAGTGGCTCAAAATATCACTTCCGCGATTTAATGGTCGAAATCCATTCACGATCGAATTTCCTTTAGTCGCGCGAATTTAATTCCCCTATTAGCCTTTCCCTAATGGTTAGCATTCCCAGGAATGATCAGTTCTGGGCGAGAACTGACTACGAGTACATTCATAAAATCCAGTATTTCATAAATCCCAAATGAACTAATTTTTCAGGATGTCACATCAACTGTCTATTAACCATGATTAATCCTGCATCAAACAACTTCTTGCCAGCAGATCAACTTTTCTAGATATTTGTGCAGGCTTTATAGCCTCAGAAAATAGAAAACCATAAAGTTTCTGCACACTGTATAGTAGCCTCATAACAGAACACCTATAAATTTCTATAAAAAAAGACAAGATTAAACCAGGAAAGTCAGTACATATATTATGGCCAATATACATGGACATATCAAACTCATTAACAGAACACAATTACAAATGAAAAGTAATGCCAGAGCTCCAAAAAGTATGTGCAAGAACCAATTAATTCGTTATTACGACCAAACTTCAAGTGGAGCAAATTGAGTGCTCATAGAGAAAAGCAGAACCTTGGTTAATTGCCCTTTGCAGAAAAGTTCAGGCCTCTGTAGAGGAAGCCTGACTAGCTCCTTCAATGTATCTTTGACATTTTCAAGAGCTCCGATGTCATCAAATGTGACTCCTATGTCACTGGGGGGAATGACATCAGTAAGAAGCCTTTTCTCAAATTCGTTTTCAGTTACAACATCTTGTACAGAAAAAAAACTGACCCACAGTTAGATAATTTGTGATTCTTAACGCAGGTATTCCTGCTACACAAAATTTAGTAGCCAAATAAATATGATAACCTTGAGTGACTTTTTCAAGCTCTTAGACTCGTTCTGAATAGCCTGCAAGATCCCAATGCCATATTGGATGCTGCCAAACATTTCAAAATGGTTTTGCTAATTTTAACCCAAAGATTGCAGCCGATAAAACATGCATCCTGACAGAGAAAGGAACGATTCCTTACCTCTCGCTGGGCAGAACAAGCCCTGAATCAGCATTAGATTCAGGATTCTACATTAAATGATGGCTTAGAGCCCATCCAATGACCTTTTCTGCACCTGCCAATATAAAATTAAATTTTAACACCATGTTAAGGAAACATAGTGAGCAACCTCACTTAAATGGATCAATGGTAATGTACATACTCTCAGTGGTAAGTGTTTGGTCCTTGATGCATATCGTATCAAGTCCTTCACATTCCACTCCGCATCGACCAAGAACCTGCACATAAGGATAAGAAACTATGACATTGTCTCCTCTGCTGCATAAGACTGCCAAACTTAATCGATTTTTGATCGGACAGATTGATCACTATTCAATAAGCACTCGAAGGTTACCAAACAATAATCGATTTTTGAGGCCACAGTCCTCAAAATGGAGTACCTCAAAGCCCTCTAGTGATATGAATACACAAGTAAGCATAAAATTCCCCACAGCCATACTCTATTTCCTACACTATTTCAAATCAGCAGCTCATCCGAAAGAAGCTTGTGCGACTCCACTTACATTCACCAACTAATATTGATATAAAGAGAAGTTAAACTTGGATTGGAATTTGACTCAGGGATTAAAGTACAATAACACTATGTATGGTAGAGGGATTTCGAGGGAAGAGAAAGGATTTTAAATGCGAAGTCTTGTTTGGATGGACAGAAAGAGATGCACAGGAGAAGAAAGGAAGGGATTGTAGAATAAATGCATATGTTCTACAAGAATAACCTATAAGATATTAAGCATATGGTAAAATTATGAGCTCATGTATAACACCTAAGAATGAAATACCATCAATGACTAATCAACCCAACCATCCTAAAAATGAAATACCAGAGGAATCCTAAAAATGTCCTGACTAATCATAATGCTTTGACTAATCCAGAGGAATTTATCGGCATTCAGCATAGCTCAACAATCAAATACCATCACCCAAAAGCAGAGATGGAAACCAGCATTTCTATACTCCTCCGAGCCAAACCTCACAGGATAAAGAGAATATTTAAACCCTACAAATCCACAGGCACCAAACTTGCACAAAACCAAACTGCGGTCAACCCAACATCTGCTTAGACCTATGAACGCCGCACTCGCAATCCTTTAAACCTCCAAAAAATTCAACACCGACGCCACCTTACCCGAGCACAACCTAGCAAAAACAACCATAGATTTCCACTGGCGCTAACCGAAACAGCAAACAGAGAAACAGGAGGCCTTTGAAGTACCGGTAAGAGAGAGAAGGCCAGAGGAGGTTGTGGTTGGCCAGCCAGTCGTAGAGGACGGGGGACGAGGGACTTCCACCGGGCGTACTTCTCGTCGACCGCGTGCTGCTGCTGCGACCTCTTCTCCTTGGCCACCGCCGACGACGACGGCGAAGACTTGGCCGCCGCCGCCGGCTGCGGCTGCTGGTGGTGGAGCTCCTCCTTTGGCTACGGCTTCACCTTCCGCCATCGCTTCTTCGGGGCTTGCGGACGCAGAGCGTCGAGGCGGAGGCTAGGGCTAGGGCATGGCCGACGCAGAGGCGTCGGCAAGGGTTGGGAGAGCGAGCGCGACGTCGTCGGACGTCGGCGTCGGCGTCGGTGTCGATGCCGGCGCCGGCGTCGGCGTCGGAGGCGGAGGCGGAGGCGGAGGCGTCGGAGGAGTCGGACGGACCGCAAGTTCTGAGCCGGGAGGAGAGACAGAGGGGTTGGGGCGTGGGAGTGACGAGAGAGATGAGAGAGAGAGAGAGGCGCTATATTTTCAAAATTGGAGATGCTGACCGGGTGGGCCCCGCGACACGTGTCGCACGGGGGGATGCTCGTTTTTTGCCACAGTGGAATCACAGTGGTACCTAATATTTTCTCGTAATTTTGAGGTTGAGGCTGTCCACGGATTGGGTAATTCGCGTTAGCAGGCCCTGGCAGCATGTTCTTGCGGTTCGGCTGAGATTTCAGTTGGGAACAAAGCCATTGATTAAGTAGCAACAATTTCACAATTTCGAGGGGGTAGATTGAGAATATTTAAAGATGAGGGACTAATGTACCTGATAATTGCCTTAAAAATGAGGGACTGATGTACCTGATAAGCTCAAATTATATACGTATCTCGGTGGTCCTAATGTAGTATTTCTCACAAGCAACCAGGGATATACACATAAGCATCTTCAACAAATTATGGACACCAGACTTGGGCTTGGATTTTGATAATGTACACTTTTATAAAATGTTTAGATCAAGATATATAGAAGGCAATCCCCATCTCATATAATTCTTAGAATTCGGGATGGACCTGCTGTCTTGGGGTTCCAATGCAACAACCAGTACCATTGACGAGACGAGAGATACTTGGCCAGAGAAGATGCGCTCCATCGGCATAAAATTTCCATTGCTTGATTCGTCAAAAAAGGATCCATCGACGTGCCACAGAGTAGTCCCGTCCACAGCGATCAATGGCGGGATTCAGAAAAAATGAGGGCTCATCCTTAGCGATCAAGCCTATAAAACGAACCTGTTAATGATCTTAGACTAGCGATCAAGTCTGTGACGTCCCTTTTGGGTTGGGGGAACTTTGATCAAAGCACCAGATGCAACAACCGAACCACAGAGTCAAAACACTTGTGATGTAGAAAGTGCGTCATGAACTCGAGTGCCTTATCGTCAATTCTCTCGTGACTTTGTTGGTCTACCATGAGAATTGACAAAAGCTTTACTGATCTAGTTAAAAGCAAGGAAAGAGTCGAGTCACTTTTAGTGACTGTGGATTCATCATTTGTGACAGAATAATTGTGACCATAAGAAGAGAGAAGACAAGGAAATTAGAGTCTGAATAGCTGTCATCTATTTTACGCAAATAGAATGTTCGCCAAGTTGTCGACTTCCGCCGGTCGCTAATCAAAGAGAATCTAAGGCTCCGTTTGTTTGGCGGAAAATATTCTTCCGGAAAATATTTTTCGGGTTTTCCGGTATTCGGGGGGCGGAAAACGTTTTCCGTAGAAAAATATTTTCCTTCCCCCCTTCACAAAATAGCCTAAGTTTATGGAAAATGACTTCCGCTTCTTCAAAAGCGGAAATCATTTTCCGGAGTTTCTTCTTCTTCTTCTTCTTCTTCTTCTTCACTAAGGTCGCCGGCCACCACTGCCTCCGGTCGCCGGCCGCCGCCGCCGCCGCCGGTCGCCGGCCGCCGCCGCCGCCGCCGCCAAAGGTCGCCGCAGCCGGTCGTCGGCCGCCGCCGCCGCCGCCGCCGCCGTCGCCGGTCGCCGGCCACCGCCGCCGCCGCCACCGCCGGCGAAAAATATTTTCCGAAACTTTTTCATATTGGTCGCCGAACACCGGAAAATTATGTTCCGGGAAAACATTTTCCAGGATAATGACTTCCGGGAAAATATTTTCCAAAAGGAGAATATTTTCCGCCAAACGAACGGAGCCTAAATCAAAGCTGAGATCACACTCGCGAGTAGACCACCATCATCACTCAGAATAACAAAATACTGTAATAGAGATATGGTTCGATATAAACATCGAAAAGAAGAATGGAAATCTTGGGTAAATGAGTATATATCAACAGACTATTTAATTTTTTATTCTAATAATGTGGGACTATTGCATGTAGAAAGTTTGTGGAATCAATACTGACCGTTTTAAAATCTTCAAGTGTTGCATTTAGACATAGTTTACTATTTAAATGTCGTGTTGAAATATCACTACATAGTTTGTTTAAGGGGTTTATGTGCTCTTTATATACTTATAGTTTCCCTCCACCAATAAATTTTATCTTTTGGGTTGAACATTCTAATATTGTATCAGAGCCACGTTTGTGCCAATTTATTTCACATGTGCAACCCCCTATTGGTCAATTTATTTCACATGTGCAGCCCCCACACTTTGGCCAGTGAGGGTCGGCCGGCCGGCCACCCTCACTAGCCAACTCCAAAACCCCCAAAAAAAATAGAGAAAAGGAAAAAAAACAATAAAAACAATAAAAAATTTCAAAAAATTATTAAAATATTATTTTAAAATGTTCACGTCAACGCCACGTGGCCGGCCGACGTCCACGTCTGCGATTTCCGGCCAAAATTGATCAGATGGACTCAATTGGCAAGAAGTGTAAAGGTTTAGGACTCAATTGGTAAGAAGTGTAAAGGTTTAAGACTCAATTGGCAAACTTAAAAGGTTTAGGACTGAATTGGTAAAAGTGCAATAAGTTTAGGACTTTTTGAATAATTTTCTCAGGTATTTAAATATATGCTTTTTGTAATGTGAGCTCCCTCCAAATATGAATCACGGTATATATGAAGCTTGATGTAGAAACAAGAGATAACCCAAAGTTTAAATCTATCAGCTATACTTGACCAGACCAAATTTAACTGACTAGTCAACTTGAATGAATTATTATATATCCAATGTGAACAGCTCCTATTCCCACCACCTCTGATCCTAGGTACTAGCATAGAGCTAATATTAATATGGGTTGCATGTTATATCTTCAATTATGTATATTGGCAAGAGACCTTTCTCTGTCTTCGGGACCCCCGAAAATGGGAAGATCAATGTTGCTCCTCTTCTAGCGTGCTTCCATTGCTTCTTTATTTGCTATGGGACTGAAGCTGCAGGCTCTAGCCCAACAAATTCCAGGTCTTTCTCTCTCTCTCATTGAGAATATTTAGTTACTTGTAAAACATCCCGGAATATTTGAACTAACCCATCTAGCAGTTTTCATTGCTGAACTCCCCAATGTTCCAACAGAGCCCAGATGATGGTCTTTCCCGTTCTTCAACATGTTTTTCTAGTGTCGATTCAAATGTTGCGCTACCAGAAGTCTTCTAAAGTCGACACGAAAAACAAAGGGATTGAAAAAAAAAAACTTATCATATATCTGATCGTATAGGTTGAATTCAGTAAACATTATCGCCACATAAACTGGTCAATCTCCACAGTGTTGTCTCGTATTCTTAAATTAGTCAAAAGGATGTTAGACGGTTTTAGTGATTAATTGTTGCATTGATTTCCGTTCATCTCAAACTCAACTTTGAAAGATGCTTCTCGCATGATCTAACTTGACTTATGCATTTCCACACGGCTAATGGAAGTAAAACATGACAAATTAACAAGGATTTGCTGATAAGATTGATGTCTCCAGTTGATGAAGAGTACCATCTCAGTAATCTAGGACATCTTAAAGCTCACTCCTCCTACGATACCTCACAAGCTCTCAGAAGGTAATTACTTAGATTCACTTGCCTTGGTTGCTCCATCGGAAGAGAAGTGATACTCGATTGAATGAGTAATTATTGGTGGTGAAATATTTGGTAGGTAAAGATTGTGGCGACGAAAAAGTTATGAGCTAAGTTTTCTCAAATTTACGGTGACAATTGAGCTTTTAAGAAGCTTGTTGTGAAGAATCTAAGAGGAATATGATAGAGTTTTCTTCAATAAGCTCTAGAAGATGCAATTTTATTGGTTAATAGGCCACTCTTCACTTAGTTTATCCCTGCCGCGACCTAAATTTCCTCAGGCTAATGGATTATTAAGACTAAGCCTAACTCGGGCCCTCCCAAGCTCTACCAATTCGCGACTTAGGATTTAGGTTTTTAACATGCAAAGGTTTTCATGCTTGGAGTCGCCACTAATCTATTTGCGGTAGGTCGATTAGAAACCTAAATAAAACATATGGAGATATGTTTTATTTCTACGACCAGAGATTCTAAGCTCGGGGACTTGATTACGCTAGATCTAGTCTAACGCCCTTTCGGTACCTTTTCTTTTCAAAAAATGTTTATGCAGGCAGTCTGGATCTATTTTATTACCTAATCACTAACATGTGAGGTATTCATGCGGGTGCGCAAACCACCAATTTAACACCCAATAAGGAAAGCAATAAATAAATTGCTAGATTAGGAGAATAACGTACCTTAAAGCTAACGAAAGCATCTGCATTGTTAGTAGAAAATCATTCAGACAATCCTAATATGATTTCTAATTAACAAAGCAAGGCACTCAAGGTGTTCTTTAGGGTTTGCGCTTCATTAAAATGCAAACTAACCTATATGCAATGACGTGCAAAAATTGACATGCGATTAATGAAACCTAACATGCGAACTGTATGTCATGCGACGACGTGACCTAATACTAATGACGGACAAATGATTTATTTTTGGTATTTTTCCAATGAAATTCGGAATTAAAAATACTTATTACCTAAGCATGCAATGTTTAATTGAGGAAACAAATTAATCTATTCTAGAGCAATATTTTTGGTATTTTTATTTAAATTCGAAATTAAAAAAAAATACTCCAATTAAGAATGCAATCTATCCTAATCTATCCTAAAGTAACTCATTCTCTTTGGGATTTTCATGGAAATTCGGAATCTTAAAATAACCTAAATAATCCATTGGGATTAGAATATCACCTAATTTAAACTAGGAAATAAATTATCTTAAGTCCCAATTTAAATTAAATAATTATCTTATCTTCTAGATACATTTAGGATTCCCTAAACATGCAAAACTCCTAATTTAAATCTTAACTAACATATTTTTGGATTTTCTTTATTAAAAAAAAAGGGA